ACGGACGGCGGGCCAAGGCAAGACGGCGAGGGGAAGGAGAAGGAGGGAGGAAGGGGAACGGGGCGATCAGGCGGAACGACCGAAGGGGGCAGGGGAAAAGGGCCAGAGCGGAGAAAGGACGGCCAGAGAAGAGGGACGACAAGACAGGGGCAGGAAGAAGGGGCGACAGAGAACGGGGAGAACAAACACGACGGGCAATGGGGGCACCAAATTCTTTACTTCCCATTATTTCCGCCAAACCCGAGGGATCCTAGCGGTAGATCTACCAGGTAGGTTGGCGGGGAGCGGGCATGACCACAGAAGTGCCACTACGGCACGGGTCGCACCGTCACCCTTGGTTGGTGGCGAGAGGGACACGACCGCATGAGTGCCACTACAGCACGGGTCGAGCCGTCACCCTTGGGGTGCAAGGTGGGGGTGGCTCAAGTGCCAAAGGGTAAGAGTTTACTGACACTGACAGGCACAATCAGCCGGCAGGGAAATAAATCCCGTTCACGTCCCAATGGAGGTAGTGGTGGGTGGCAACTGACGCCTCTGATTGAAGGTGGTTGCAAATGTGTGCCTTGAGGTGGAGGTACGGGTCCCCCCCCCTACGGCCGTCGGCCGTCTTCATTGGCCGAGGGACCGTAGGGGGGTCCTCGTCCCCCTCCGGTGCCTATTGAGGGCACAGTGGAAGGTTGACCGGTGGGAGCGGGAACCCCGCAGCCCCATTGACGGAAAATGCGAGGGGATTGAGGCCTAATGACAGTCCTTACCGACGAGGCCTATTGACGGTCCTCGCCGAGAGGGGGCGGCGAGAGGGAGGGGGTCATCCCGAGTGACGATGAAGGAGGAGGAGGAGGAGGAGGAAGAGGAACAGCAGGGAGGAAGGCAAGCTGGGCGCTCTCGCGCCACATCCGACATCCCATCCATCTCTTCCCATTTCGGTGAATTCTTCTGTGTACGCCGATTGTAGTGTTCCAGAGGACAGTGATGCCCCATTAATTCCCCCCATCGTGTGGTGCGCGACCGCACGGGGGGGAGTTGGGGCGCTTGGTACATTGAAGGAGGATGTGGCTGATGAGTAGAAAGATGAGCAGGAGAAGGACGAGGATGGTTAGGAGGAGGAGGAGGAGGAAGAGGGAAAAGACCAGCAGGAGCAAACGCATAAGGAGGAGCGCGAGGAGCAGGATGGCCAGAGGAAGGTGGAGGAGTGTAAAATATTGGGGCGGCAACGAATAACAGGGAAGATGATGTAGGAGTGTGGCCCGCGCTGGGGCGAGAGCGCCTATCTGAGCGACGCTATCAAGGCGACGATCATGATACGTGGCCCACCTTGCAGCGGGAATACCACGGTTGAAGGAGCGAGAACATGCCAAGCCCCTCTCCGACTCCTGGTCGGGAAGCTGGCCCGCCTGAGCCTGCCCGAGCTGCATGACGCTACGGCCCAAGCTCAGCCTCCTTGCTCGCACTGGCTGAGCAAGCTGTCGCCGCCTGGCTGCGAAGCCCCCGCGCGCCGCCAAGCCCCGCACCTGCAGTTTGGAGCCTCCCATCTCCTCTGGGCGAGCTCCGCGCCCCCACGCCGGCACTTGGCACGGACCAGCTCGACGAGCCTGAGCCCCTCATCCGCCTCGGCCCCGGGGAGCGCTGGCGTCTCCCTCCCCACCAGGCCTGGGTGCACAAGCCGCCGGGTGCCCGCCGCGGCCGCCAGTATCGGTGATCTTTCGGCCGCGATGGCACTCCGCCTGTGCCGGCCCTAGCTGCGCTGTCTGAGTCGCGCTGCATGGCTTCGGCGGACACGCCCCCGCTCTGAGGATCATCGTTTGAGGTCGGGGCGAAAAGCCCATGGAGAGCAGCACGTGTATCCAGAGCCTCCGAGCGCCCACGTCTTCGGCGAGGCTCCCAGAGGAGTGCATGGAACGCCCGCCCCTGGGCTGTCCGCCCTTCAGGCCGACGACGTTTTTCCTCGCAGCACCGCGCCAGAACCACCGACGCGCCTCCTTTGGTGCCGCAGCCAGACGAGGAGCCTTAGGGCCTGTGAGCACTGTGCCTGCTAAGCAATCGAGGCTACAGACTGCTATTACAGCCAACCCGCATAGTAAGGATGGGCAACGTTCCCAAGGGTACCCTTGCATCCTTGCCCCTTCGGCCCATTCTCCGCGACTCTGGCTGGCCAACCTCGTTCGGAAAACGCCAACGTGGCCCTTCAAGGCCCTTGCACCCTTACCGCGCATCCTTGTGATACGGGTCGACTGTGCTGCGCTTCCCACCTGCCTCGCCAGACGCCAACCATGAATATTCGATTTGTACAGATCAGGACCCCTGGACTGGTAGCCCCTGCCGTCGGGTTGGTTTGCTGGGTTGGGGTGGTCTAGTAGGTAGTCAACTGCCCAGAGATCCGATGTCGTAATTTTTGCAACGCCGGGTCCCCGGAAGTCCCGACCCATTCCCCAGGACCGGTTTTTCATCCTGGGTCGTTTCTTGGCAGTCCCGGGGCCCAGCGAGGGCTCCTGGAGGCCGAAAATCATAATTTTTCAAAAAACCTCCGCCTCGATTTTTTCAATGCGGTGGATCTCTGGGGCTACGCGTAACGCCCTCCCCTGGGCGGTCCGCCTCGCATCGGCGATCACCACCGGCCGCGGCGCCACCGTGCACAGCTCTCCGCCGCCGCCCAGCCTGCCCGCCTCGGGGGGCGGCAGGGCCTGTTTTCCACCACCACCACCATCATAAGTTGGAGGGGGAAGGAGGTGGAGGATGAGGAGGAGAGGGGAGAAGAGGAGGAGGAGGAGGAGGAGGAGGAGGAGGAGGAGGAGGAGGAGGAGGACCCCCTTCCCCTCCTACTTATGGTGGTGGTGGTGAAAGCAGCAAGCGCACCAGGCAAGCCCCGCCCCCCCCCCGCTCACGGCGTGGGCGGGCGGCCTCGAAGAAGGCACCCCCCGGATCGCGACGAGCCGCCCAAGGCCCGCTGGGCGCGGGTGCTGCTTCAGAAGAGAAAGTCAAGCAGTGGCGAAGCGTCCTGGCTCGCCTATAGGCCCACCAAAGAATGGTCTACAAACCCTTTCTGGTTTGCCAGAAATGTTATTAGAACATTTCTGGCTGGGGCTGCCTTGTTTTATCACATCGGTTGTATGTTCTAAGAACATAGCTTTCGTTCTTAGAAAATGTTTGTTTGGGTTCTGAGAACATTTCGTGGTAGGGTCATAGGAATGCCGGGCCGGTCGGTCCCTGCTCAAGAAAGAACAGCACATACACATAAGTATAGCAGCGTAAATCCAGTTATCTCGTGGACGTTCCAAACCCCATGCTCCGCCTTCCTGGGTGCAGGGGGAAGCCAGCGCGCGTGTCACATCCGTGACTTTCCACATAAGCTGCGTGAGCGCGCGACCGCGCTTCAGAAATTCCAGAAACTCTGGGAGGCCCACCCCAAAAGCAAAGGGCTCGAGCCCACATTCGCATGCGATGTTTCTCCCTCGAGGCATCCCAGATGGGGTCCGAGTAGATGGGGTCGGAGGATCGCGCCGCATCGCTGATGCATCGCCGATGCGGCTCGATGTGAAGCCGGACTTTCTCCACGCCGACGGCGCCGATCCATCGCCGACGTCGCCGATGCATCGGCGATGTATCGCCGATGCATCGGTGATGCGGCGCGAGCCTCCGACCCCATACACTCGGACCCCATCTAGGAGGCCTCTACCCAAGCAAAGGGCACGAGCCCACATTCGCAGGCGATGTTTCTCCCCCACCCCCCCGACTTTTGGTCGAAAAATGAAGCCGCTCAAACAATGAGGGGAAACCTGGGACACCCCCTGGGGGCTATTCGCACGCACCCCAAATCGAGAGTGGACGCCACCCCATCGTTTGTCCCATAGTTTGGCCCAAAATGTTTGGTCCAGCCGAAAACCTCCCACAGTATGGGATAGCGGGTGACATATCCCCTGTTACACATGGGGCGATCCAAAAAGGGCCTTATCTTCGAGGATCGACGGGGTTGCCATGTCTTCCGCGGCGGAAGTAAAACGAGGCCGCCCCCGCCGGCGGAAGGCCGGCGGAAGCCGGCGGAAGCAAAAGCCGACTCTTCCCAAGAGATGACAGCATTTTTGGTTTCATGGTTTCCAGAATCCACCACATGTGCACGGGATCTTTTTCCACAAGACAGCAGCGAAGATGACCAGTGACCGTCTAGGCGACGAAACCTTTACAAAGGCAAGACGCTTCTGTCACGGAGTAGCTCCTGGAGGCGGTGGCGATGCCAAAGGCTCGGAAGGAATCGTTGCATGCCTCAAAAGGGAGGGGGCAGGAGAGGGGAACGGGAGCAGATGGGCACCCCCAAAACCCGCCGCAGCCGCGTGAGAGCGCACAGTCTGTTGCGCAGGGACAGTCACTCCTCGCGAGGTGAATGGAGGGGGACGACAGATGGAAGTAAACAGACGACGGTTCAGTCACAATGCAGATTTAGTTGCAACAGTGGAGTGGCCCAGTGATGTTCCTAGTGAGCGGGCGCCCAGAATGTTTACGCCTCGCCGCGAAACAAGCATTGGAGTACAGCATGCCCAGGCTTTCAACCTGAAGGCAAAGGACAAGGAAGAACGCGCACAACAACAGCGCTATCATCATAACTCTCATGGACAGCCCAACGGGGCTGGAGCCGGACACGCACTCCCCAGGAATATGAACATGTGTGTTGAACTTCGTCCCTCGGCAATTATTTTCGCCGTAGACACGCTAAGGCGATGTAGGTAACGGCGATGTAGGTGTCGGTATTGTGAGAACGCGTGGCTCGCGCTTTCCTATAACTCGCTGTGTCGTCTTCGTTCGATACCTTCGCGCATTGGAAGTGTAGGAAACCGTGTTTCGTGATTTCCTGCACGTTCGTTCTCAACATTACTCTTCAGCAACGCCGCCGTCAGCGTGGCCTTGGCTTCGCACACGGGGGCCAGTCTCTCTCCCTCCCTCTCTCTCTCTCCCCCCACGGCACCCTGATGGCAACCCCTGCCGGGTCCCCCGCCGCATCTCCGGCCCCCATGAGCGTGGCCTCGTCGCGCTCCGCGGCGGCGACCGGCCTGACGACGTCGGCGAGCGACGTGCAGACGCGGAAGACGCAGGTGAGCGGCTCGCAGGCGCGCAAGACGCAGAGTCACAAGGGAGGAGGGGGAGGCACCGACACGGCTGGAGCCACGGCTGGAGCCGCCCGAATTTCTTGCCGGAGCGCGGCCCAGGAGAGGTCCTGGGAGTAGCGGTACCGGCGTCCGTTGTCATGATTAATTGTTTAGGGCAGAGCCCCCCACGGAAGTCCAGACCTTTTCCCCGGGGCCAGCTTTTCATCCTAAGTGTTTTTGTGGACGTCCTTGGAATTATGGTCAGAGCGGTCCCCAGGAATGGTCTCATGAGTAGTGGTATCCTTTGATTGTTTCCCCAACCCGGGCACCCGATGCCTTGATTCTCCAGGACCAGCTTTTCATACTGAGTCGTTGCCTGACGATCTTGGTGCAGCAGGGACCCCAGGGGCCGAAAGCGACAAGCAACCTGCATCTTGATTTCTCAAGACGTCGTACGTCTGGGAAGGAGACCTTCGAGCGCCTCATGCGCCTCAGTGAGCAGTCGCGCACGGACACGGTGGTGGACGGGGCGCGATCGAGCCAGAGCAGCCCCGCACCAACTTCGCAGAGCAAGGTCGCCCACGAGAATCCAGGCATCCTAGATGGGGTCCGAGTAGACGGGTCCGGAGGATCGCGCCGCATCGCCGACGCATCGCCGATGGGGCTCGATGTGGAGACCGATTTTCCCCACGCCGACGTCGCGGCTGCGTCGCCGACGCCGCCGATGCATCGCCAATGCATCGCCGAGGCATTTGCGACGCGGCGCGATCCTTCGACCGCACCTGCGCGGACCCCATCGAGGGAGGCCTCCAGAGAAGGATAGGGCCCCCGAGGGCGGATGGGGTCCGTATAGGGCCAGGCGAGGCCACGGCGGTCCCGGCCTCTGGCGTTGCTCGTAGGTGTGCTGGGTTTCTTTTGGCCGTGTCTCGTCGGGGTCCAGGACCGGACTCTGGAGAAACACACACACACACACGAACACACACACACACACACACACACACGCACACACACAACAACAACAACAACAACAACAACAACAACAACAACAACAACAATCACTTTACCCGAACGCTCAGTGTTCTCACCAGTGCCAGGGTTTTCATGCGACGCCAGCCAATACCCCCACTTTGTGGGGGGCAGTGCAAGCTCTACCAAATATCCACACGACTCTTCGCCACCACCCACACCCAGCTTCCCGCCCTATGACGTTCGGACACTTCACTTCGTGGCCTGCGGACGACCGTGGCTACTACACTGGCGTGGAGTACACACCCACAGAAGTTGTTAAGCCTACGTTCGTACACCCACAGAAGTTGTTAAGCTTTGTTAACCCACAGAAGTTGTGAAGCCTTCCACAGAACATCTGTTGCATATGATGCATATGGTACATGATACACATGATACACATGATACGTACTCACAAGATAGTTGATCACATCTTTAGGGCAAATTCCTGAGGGATGTGGGAATACACAAGAGAGAGAGGATATGGTTGTCCCGATGGTTGTCTCGATGGTTGTCCGATGGTTGTCCAATGGTTTTTGGAGATTTCGGCGTGCGCGCGCGAAGAAAAAACGAATGTGTCCCGCATGGTATTATTTGACAGGGATGATGGCCCTGGCAGGTGCGCAACCGTTGTCGCAGAAGTTCGAAAAAGTTGCTCGCAAAAGCCCGTTTGACAGAAATGTTTAAAAAGTGTTGGGTTTCCTACGAATCCGCAAGAGCGCGCGGGATGAGATTTTGACATTTTTTTGTTGAAAAACCATTAGTTTTTTGATGTTTTTATGTTGAAATCGCTCCGAACACTAAGCTTTTGGAAGGATTTCGTCTTGCGCGCGCGAATGTCCACTTTACCTTATTTTTTGCAAGGGATTCTTGAAATTTGATTATATTAGAACAAGAAATGTCATTTTATAGTGTTTTTTGCAAGGGAAAGCGGGGGGGAACAAAACAACCGGATCTTGATCACATCGAATTACCTGAGGCTTCCTCACGAAAATGATGAAAATGTAGCTGCGGCCTAGGCGGCGCAGGGGGGCCGTGCACCAGGGGTCCCAACAATAATTATTCTTTAGAATTAATAATGTTCAACAACAACAACAACAATTACTAGCACGTGGGGACACTCCGTTCTCACCAGTGCCAGGGTTTTCATAGGAGGCGGGCAATACCCCCACTTTGTGGGGGGGCCGGTTCAAGCTCTACCAAATTTCCAAACGACTCTTCGCCACCACCCACACCCAGCTTCCCGCCCTATGACGTTCGGACACTTCACTTCGTGGCATGCGGACGACCGTGGCTACTATTCAGGGCCCCGCGGCCGACGACGACGGCGTGCGCGCGCGAAGAAAAAACGAATGTGTCCCGCATGGTATTATTTGACAGGGATGATGGCCCTGGCAGGTGCGCAACCGTTGTCGCAGAAGTTCGAAAAAGTTGCTCGCAAAAGCCCGTTTGACAGAAATGTTTAAAAAGTGTTGGGTTTCCTACGAATCCGCAAGAGCGCGCGGGATGAGATTTTGACAATTTTTTTGTTGAAAAACCATTGGTTTTTTGATGTTTTTATGTTAAAATCGCTGCGAACACTAAGGTTTTGGAAGGATTTCGTCTTGCGCGCGCGAATGTCCACTTTACCTTATTTTTTGCAAGGGATTCTTGAAATTTGATTATATTAGAACAAGAAATGTCATTTTCTATTGTTTTTTGCAAGGGAAAGCGGATTACAACAAAACAACCGGATCCTGTACACACCCTCTTTTCTGAGGCTTCCTCACGAAAATGATGAAAATGTAGCTGCGGCCTAGGCGGCGCAGGGGGGGCGCGCACCAGGGGGCCCAACAATAATTATTCTTTAGAATAAATAATGTTCAACAACAACAACAACAACAACAACAACAACAACAACAATTACTAGCACGTGGGGACACTCCGTTCTCACCAGTGCCAGGGTTTTCATAGGAGGCGGGCAATACCCCCACTTTGTGGGGGGGCCGGTTCAAGCTCTACCAAATTTCCAAACGACTCTTCGCCACCACCCACACCCAGCTTCCCGCCCTATGACGTTCGGACACTTCACTTCGTGGCATGCGGACGACCGTGGCTACTATTCAGGGCCCCGCGGCCGACGACGACGGCGTGCGCGCGCGAAGAAAAAACGAATGTGTCCCGCATGGTATTATTTGACAGGGATGATGGCCCTGGCAGGTGCGCAACCGTTGTTGCAGAAGTTCGAAAAAGTTGCTCGCAAAAGCCCGTTTGACAGAAATGTTTAAAAAGTGTTGGGTTCCCTACGAATCCGCAAGAGCGCGCGGGATGAAATTTTGACAATTTTTTGTTGAAAAACCATTGGTTTTTTGATGTTGTTATGTTAAAATCGCTACGAAAACTAAGGTTTTGGAAGGATTTCGTCTTGCGCGCGCGAATGTCCACTTTACCTTTTTTTTGCAAGGGATTCTTGAAGTTTGGTTATGTTAGAACAAGAAATGTCCACTTTAGCCATTTTTTGCAAGGGAAAGCGGGCGTCAACAAAACAACCGGATCTGGACCACATCGTTTTGCCTGAGGCTTCCTCACGAAAATGATGAAAACGTGGCTGCGGCCTAGGCGCGGCGAGGGGGGCGTGCACCAGGGGGCCCAACAATAATTATTCTTTATAAGTAATAATATTCAACAACAACAACAACAACAACAACAACAACAACAAAAGAAGCACACACTGTGGACACAAGCACAAAAGCACTGTGTTTTTTTTGGTGTGCTCTGTTCCACAGACTTGTGTGTGTGTTTTTGTGTGTGCGTGCTTGTGTGTGCGTGTTTGTTCCACCGTCTGTTTTTTCCACAGTGTGTGTGTGTGTGTGTGTGTGCTTGTGTGTGTGCGCTTTTTTCCACAGGGCCGGGCGGGAGAGCTGCCGTTGGCCGCCGGTGCCTCCGTTGGCCCTCCTCCGCCGGGGCCCTCCCTTGGCCCCCGGGCCGACAGACGGCAATTCCAGATGAGCGATGCAAGAGAAAGCGGGTCGTCTTCGCCGACGTTCGCGCGTAAGTGATTTGCGTAAGTTCGCGCGTAAGCGCCCTCGTTCCTGATGTAGCGTGGCGCGCTGGCGGCCCGCGCAGGCCGCTGCGTGAGGTCGCTGTGTCATATCGCGTAAGACTTGTTTTTGATCGCCGCTCCGACGAAGAGCTGCTCTCGAGGGAAGCCCCCAGGGGTCCCCCAGGCCCGCTTCCCTCGGGCTCGCCCTTCTTTTCCTGTGCGCCCGCCAGGGGCCCCGCAGGAACACCACGAAGATGAAGGCCCTGAGGTCAGGGGCGGCGTGACCGACCCCTGGCAAACCATCCCCTTCCGTGACGTCCCTCTCGCCTCGCCTCAAGACGTATGTATTCGGCCGGAGCGGAACTCGAAAGGCGGGGATCATGTCACGGAAGGGGATGGTTTGCTAGGGGTCGGTTATGCCGCGCCCGATGAGGTTTCCCAGCACGAGCCCCCTGACCCTCGAGTTTCTCCAGTGGGCCAACTCGCACTGGGACCTGATCGAGATGCTTTTCAAGCAGGTCGGAGAGAGGAGAAGCGACACCAACACCACCAGGGGGCCCACCTCCAGCGAGGAGGTCCGTGATGCCTCCCCGAGCTGGAGGCTGGGGATGTCTCGAGCGAGAGGATGGGACCACACCACCAGGGCGACCCCCTTGCCTCCTCGAATCTCCTCGCCTTTCCTTGTTCCTAGCAGGGGGCCGGGAAGCCGCTCCGGACCCTCGACGAGCAGGAGTGGTGCGAGGGCATCCGGAGCTGCGGTTTCCGCGGGGACGCCCGGGACGCCTTCCGCGTCATCGCCTTGGATTTCGGCGACGAGAGCTCGGAGGACAGCGCGCACGTCACCCTTGAGGCGCTGAGGATCAGAGGAGGAACAGGTACCCATACCGCAACCTCTCCCTTGTTTTTTCCCCTTTTTCGGCTTCCTGGGAGGCCCTCGCCACCGCTGGATTAAGCCTCGCAGTCCTGGTCAGAACGCACCCCAGGAGAGGTCTGGGCAGTAGCGGTATTGGTACCTTTTTGGGTTTCCCCAGAGGAAGTTCGAGTCACCGGCCGCTCGCTTCATCCAGCTTATGCGGGAGAAGCACGGCACGCTGCTGCGCGCCTGGAGGGTGGAGCTGAACAAGGATGGCAACGCCTTCCTGACCTACCCCGAGTTCGCCGAGGCTTGTCGGAACCTGGGGGTCGCGAGCCAGGGCCGCAGCTTCTGGCAGTCCATACACCCGACCGGCCAGATCAAGGACACCAAGCTCTCGCCGATGACCTTCAAAGACTTCTCGACGGAGGAGGCACAGAACCTGCAGGACTTTGCGGACGGTCTCTGGGAGACGGTCGCCATGGATTTGGATGCGGCTTGGAGAATTCTGGACGCCAAGAAGATCAAGTTCATCTCGGACGAGGGCCATTTGAGAAAAGCGGCGGTTCTGCCACACAGGTCCAAATCCGTTCCAAATCGGTCCCAGGAGCACTTCGAAGGGGGTCAGCCTGACCCATCTGCCGAGTCGATTCCAGCCCGAGCGCCGAGAAACGTCAAGGAGGCCCCAGGAGGCCCAAAAGGACGAAGCACGCCGGGGAGTTTCCGACCTACAGCTTCAGCACCTTCCGCGCGGAAGGTGCCGCCGCGATGCGGCCTCGACTGTGGCCGCCGCTGCGGCCGAGCCAGCGGCCGCGGCAGCGCGGCACCTGCCGCGCGGAAGGCGCGGAAGGTGCAGGTCGAGGGAGGGCCGCCGTGGTCTCGACTGGCCATTCTCCGACCATCAGGGAGGCCGATTTCATTAACGCCTTGCCGAAGCTCGGCTACAGGGGCTCGAAACACAACGCCAAATTCCTGTTCCGAGGCCTGGCCTCGGGCTTCGGCCACTCCCTGGGCCAGGCGAGGATGGGCCGGCCGGACTTGGATGTCCTCCTCGTGCTGACGGACCGCGGCCAGTGCTTGGACAACCTGCCTCCAGACATGGCTGAACTGCACATCTGGGTGAACAGGAACGCGGGTGAGATCCATATCCATATCCATATCCAGTGCGTCTTGGACTTTCCTGGAAGGGTCGCCACAAGGCCGAGACGCACTGGATATGGAGAAAGTTCGAGCCTGTGGGGGTCAGGTTTTTATCCATATCCAGCGCGGACACCCGACACCCCAAGCTGCAGTGGATATGGACGCATGTCTTGCCCGCAAGGAATCTTGGCGGCGCCGCGAATTTCCTGGAGGCGATGGAACTTACCGACAAGGAGACGGTGCAGGTCTACGACCTGGCAAAGGGGATCCGGTTGCTCGGCTACCCCGGGAATCACACGCAGACAGCCGCGCATGTGGCCAGGTTCTGCCGGAACCAGGCTGGGACACAGCTGCGCGTCGAGGCGCTGTTAGAGCTGCTCCAGACGGGGCGGAAGCCGTCGAGCAAGCGATCGGGCACGCCGCTGAACAAGAGGTCCGGCGCGGCGGCCCGACCACCGAGGCAGATCTCGCGTGGCTCTCGCGGTGACCGCTGGGGCCGGAGCGCTGGGCCAGGATCGCCGGGGTCGAGGCCTGTTCTGTTGGCTTGGAACACTGGTGGGACCAACCAGGCCGACGTCAACCGGAAACTTCCAGCCAGGTGCAGGAAGTATTTCGGCGACGATCCGGACAAGCCCGTGCGCGACCAGATCCGAAAGCATGTGGCCGCAAAATTAGGTAGCCGCGCGCCTTCGCCGGTCCCTTCGACGGTGCCTTCGCCGGCGCCTTCGCCACGGCCGCGGTTGAGCCGCGTACACACCTCTGAAGGGCCACGCGCGGAGATGTTGCAGGAGAGTGGCTTTTTCAAGCCCCCCCCCGTCCACCAGACAATCAAGCTCTCATTGACGCAGATCGAGGCGGGGTGGCAGGCAGGACAGGCCTTCATGCTGAAAGGGCATCATAGGTGCGGTGGTGGTCCACAGGCACCTTAGCGTTCATAAGCGCGATGGTGCTCACGTGCGCTGCGGTGCTTGAGTGCCGTACAGGGGTGCTTATCGCCTTCTGTGGTGTTGTCCGCATGACGTGTCAGTATACGTAGCACCCCGCAGATACGGATAAGAGTGAGGGGGCGGTAGGGACGTCGGCAGTCTGCGAGACTCTGGAGAAGCTCGCCGCAGGCGCCAAAGTTTCACAAATTATAAAACGAGCCCGCCGCAGGCGCTGATCTTTTCTTCGAGCCAATGTGGATCGGTCGCGGGTGGGTCGCGGGTGGGTCGCGGGCGGGTCGCGGGTGGGTCGCGGGGTGGGTCGCGGGTGGGTCGCAAGTGGGTCGCGGGTGGGTCGCGGATGGGTCGCGGGGTGGCTCGCGGGTTGGGTCGCGGGTGGGTCGCGGGTGGGTCGCGGGGTGGGTCGCGGGGAGGGTCGCGGGTGGGTAGGTGGGTCGCGGGTGGGTCGCGGGTTGGGTCGCGGGTGGGTCGCGGGTGGGTCGCAGGGTGGGTCGCGAGGGGAACGACGACAGCAAGCAACAACAACACCACCAACAGCAACAGCAACAACAACAACAGCAACACCACCACCACCACCAACAACAACAGCAACAACAACAACAGCAAAAACGCAACAAACAGAATCCTCATCACGGATGCTCACTTCAGCCACGCACCCAGGGACAATGAATGCACGTTCGGCCCCCTCACTCTGATAAATCGACGCGGTGGTGCTTGCGGGCACTGTGGTGCCTACTCTCGTGAAGTGCGTTCGGGCGCTGTGGTGGTTCCCTCGGTGCCGTTCTGAGGCTCGAAGGTGGTGGCTGATACGGCGCGGTCTTCACAGACAACGATGGATTGCTTCCGGCCGTTCGGGTCGGTTTGCCAACTCCTGTGTTTCCACAGCTTGGGCTCAGGGCAGCAAGGGGGAGAACGCCGTGGGTTGAGCATCATCTTCGGAACATCGGCGCACAGAAGTCACCTCGAACGAGAGGGAGAGAGGGGGGGCGGCACAGGGCGCCCTGGGTGGCCACAGCTGCAACAAGGGTTCGACGTTCGGGTTCTTGGGCTCCAGGGGTGGCGGACCTACGATTTCGCTAGTTTCTGATGGTGGGCCAGAAGCACAGGCAAAGACTGCCCAGGGACGTGCCCAGCCCTCTCAAAGAGGCGATGCGACTAGAAGTAGGACCGCTCAGCACAAGAAAGCATCGCAGGATACACGGGCAATGGCAATAGCCTTGCAGGTGGCGGCGCCCCACCCGGGGGGGCGCGAGAACTGGTTTGGACGTGCGTGAGACACCATTCCGCTGGACCTCTCAGGAGCCCGCGACATTCTAGACGGTTGCTCATTTCGAAGTCCCGAGGGAGGGCAAGAACCCGTTCCAATGTGAGTGAAATTACTCTGTTGGACCTCCGAGGCGCCCACGAAAGCGGCGACGACTGCCCAGTTCGCAGCCCCGAGGGAGGGCGAGGCTACATTCTGATGTGCGGATGACACTACTCCGCTGGACCTCCCAGGAGCCGACAAAAGCGGCGACGGTTGCGCAGTTCGCAGCCCAGAGGGAGCGCGAGGTCTCATTCTGATGAGCGTAGGACACCACTCCGCTGGATCTCCCCGAAGCCCACGAAAGCGGTGTCAGTTGCGCAGTTCGCGGCCCCCAGTGGATTCGCGAGGAACGTGGCAAGTAGACAGTGGGACGCATGCATGCAGCAGGCACTGGGCAAGAGGAGGGGGGAGGAGGAGGTTGAAGACCGCAGTGTTTTTTTTTTCTCCCCGAGACGAGATACCAACACGAGAGGCCTGGGAGCAAGCACGCACTTTCCGTGGAACTCCGGGGGCCCAGCGGTGGCCAGCCTCCCTCCTCTCCCTCGCCCTGCCCTATTACCGTGCCTCCTGCCCTCGCCCCTCTGTGCCGGTGCTCCTGCCGCCCCGTCCTGCCCGAGATCCCCTCGGCCGCCGGCGCGCCCAGCATCTCGGCGTGGTGCGCTCTCCAGCCCTGCAGACCGCCTCGGCCCGCTGGGGCGCAGGGAGCCAGGGAGTCGGCCCTCAGGGTGCGACGAGGGGCCCGAGGGGGGGGGGGTGGACGGGGCGCGACGCGGGAAGGAGTCGCATTCGTTCTCCCAGGTCTGTGCGCCAAGACGCCCTCCCTCTGTTCCTCTTCGCCTTCGTGCCCCGATTCGCTCCCCGTGCAACCGCTTGCTGACCGGCGCCTGACTGTCTCTGGCCACTTGGCGCCCGCGGACGTAAAGTTGCCAAGACACTTCAGGCAGAGCCGAAACGAGTGGCACTAAAAACCATAAGGCGAATGCGACACTGGCGAATGCACGCAAACACGGCGCCGCCAGTGCACTCTGAAGGGCGGCGCTGTCAAATCAGTCCTCGGGGGCGCGTGGTAGGATGAGCGAACGGGAGGAGTGGAAGAGACAAGCTAGGCGTGCTCTCGCCATATCTGAGATTCTACCCCCCCCAACCATCCCTGCCCACTGCGCTGATTTTTCTGTATCCGCTGAAACGTGCAGTTGCGGACCTGGAGCTTCCAATTAGGACCCCATCGTCGTGTCATGCGCAACCGGACAAGGGGAGCTGCGCACATTGGAGGAGTAGGTGGCGGATTCGCAGGAAGTAGGGGAGGAGGATGAGGAAGGGGGAGGACGAGGAGGAAAAGCAGCAGCAGCAGGAATTGAAATGGGAGAAGCGAGAGGAAGAGGCTGACCACGGAAAGGCGGGGCAACGCAAAGGAACGGGGCGAGAGCGACGAAAAAACATTCCGATCCAGAAAAAAAGGCCCAGGCTGGAACGAGAGCTCCCTCCTGAACGATGCGAGCAAGGCGTCGACCTTAACCTGAGGCCAACCCTGCAGCGGGAAAACAATTCTGAGACACCGCAAGCGGCCCGACTTAAAGAAACATTGGACTTCTCAGCGTGCGAGATCTTTTGAAGAGCGCGCGGAGGGGGCCGTTCCACACCACGGACATCTTCAGGGGAAGGAGCAGCATCCATACCGGGACATTGCGGAGGCCCTGGGAGACCTCGGGAGGGCGCGGGTGGCTTCCCTTGCGAGATGGACCTGCGCACTGCTGGTCTGCGCCTGGATGTTCTCGCTTCTGGGCCTCTGTCGGCGGCGGGCATGCGATCCCGAATATTCGATGCGATCTCAAACGGTTGCGTGGTGAAACAGGCGATGCCCAAAGCAATGGATGGCAACCGCCGGCATTTCCCAAACCGAGGCACGCAAGGGCAAATGGACGGGGCGGGCCTGCAGGAGGCCTGGGAGGGACGAAGCGTGCTTCCTGTGCGGAGTAGTTGCCTGAAGTTCGCGCCAACATTCTCTCTCAGTCTATGGACTCCCCGGCCTCGGGCAGGGAATCCTTGGGCCACGGGCAGGGGAGACAACTGATTCGGCTAGTGGTCTACGATGTCTCACGGCCCGCTCGCTCCGTACATTGGAGACGCATGCCAAGAAACACCCTGCTTGCCTCCAGGGTGCCCTAGGTTTCTTGGGTTTCGATGGTTTTGCCATGGACAACGTGGCGTTCCTACACCAAAAATCTGTGGACGTCCTGGGATCTCAGGGTTGGGTTTCTTGTGGTCAAGCTCTTGTTGTATGGCGCCGTATGGTGTCGTATGATGTCCCGTGTTTCCCGGTGCTTTCAAGTTTCATCACATGTCTTTCCGGAGATTCCCCGTTTGTTGCCAGTGTACGCCCAGCGTGTCACATGGTTTCGTACGATCAGGGTGAGAGAGGCGAGCGGTCTTACACCTTACACTGTCCCCATGTGTGCGGCTGTTGTTGTCGTTGTTGCCGTTGTCGTTGTCGTTGTCGTTGTTGTTGTTGTTGTTGTTGTTGTTGTTGTTGTTGTTGTTGTTGTTGTTGTTTTGGTGTTGTGATTGCTGTTGTTGTCCAACTCTCATTACTGCAGAATAATTATGGTTGATCCCCCTACGGTGACCATTGTGGTTTTTCAATTGAAGTGCTTCTTCCAGGGCTCGCACACTGTTTTTCATTAGGGAAAGTCACGGGGCTCAAACTGGGCCCCTGGCCCCCGGTTTACAACAACGGTTCCCGCCTGATACTCCCTCACAATGTATTCCCAAATCGCGCTCTCGCGCGGGACTTCCTCACAATTTGTACGCATGGCGCTCTCGCGTGGGACTGCCTCGCAATTTATTCAGACGATGCGCCCTCGGCGCTCAAGAATCACGCTCTCGCTTTGGCCTTTCTCACGATTTACTTAGGAATCGGGCTATCGCTCGAGACTTGCTCGCAATTCATGCAGGGCCCACGCTTCAGCAACCCGCCTGCTCGACGTCGTCGCCTGGGCCCGCCTTCCCGACCTGCCCGCTATGGCTCTGCCCACCCGATCTTCCTGTCTGGTTATACCACTTGTTTTCTGCTCCTTGCCCCCCTCCTGCTAATTTCTCTCGTGCTCCATTCTTCTCCCTCCCCCTTCCACCGGTCCTCTCTGCCTTTGTATTAGGGGCTGCACTACATGCATGTGGCAGGTAAGGAAGATATACCCCCAAGGGGGTACGGTCGAAGACACGACGAGGGCGGGTACCGAGGGTTTGGGATATACGTATTGGTTGGCACGTGAGCAGAGAGGAGCGAACAGTCTTCAAATGATTGGTGTTGCTGTTGTTGAATATTCAGTTCTAGAGAATAATTGTTGCTGATCTCCGGAAACGGTTCCGGGCGCTCTCGCCTCGACGCCGGCTACATTATCTCTGAACGAAGCTCCCGCTCGAGCGTTGGTTTGAGTGTAAAAGTGGGCCCTTTGAGGCCCAGCTACGACGACAACGGCTCCCGCTCGATACTCCCTCACTAGTTACCCCGAGACACCCTGGCCAGAGAGGCCCCCGAACTCAGGAATGGCGCTCTCGCTCGAGACTTCCTCGCAATTCAGTCAAGTTTGCGGGGGCCCAGCCACGACGACAAGGGCTCCTGCTCGATACTTCCTCACAATTTACCCCGAGAGCCCCAGGCCAGGAAGGCTCCCGAACTGAGGAACGGCGCTCTCGCTCGAGACTTTCTCATGATTCAGTCAAAGTGGTGGAGGCCAAACTACGACGACAAGGGCTCCCGTTCGATACTTCCTCAAGATGCATTCGCAGAGGCCGTTGCCAGAGAGGCCCCTGAACTCAAGAGTGCCGCTTTCGCTTGAGATTTTCTCGTAATTCAGGCAAGTTGGTGGAGGCCCAGACACGGCGACAAGGGCTCCCGTTCGATATTTCTCAATCTGTATTCCGAGAGCCCCTGGCTTGGCCAGAGAGGCCCCCGAACTCAATAACGGCGCTTTCGCTCGAGAGGTCTTTGCACTTCAGTCAGTGGCCGACAAGGAAGATATTCCCCCTCAAAGGGTGTGCGATCGAAGACGAAGTAGGCGGGTATCGAGGGTTGGGTTATACAGAATGCAGAACACGCGTGCTACTAAGAGTGAACAGTCTTTACATGATGTTTGTTGTTGTTGCTGCCGCTGCTGTTGCTATTGTTATTGTTGCTGTTGTTGTTGTTGTTGCCTGCCGTCGCCGCCCGATCATCGACCCGCCCCGCGACCCACCTCGCGACGCACCCTCGACACAACGTCGATCCACCCGCGACGCACCTGCGATCCATCCGTAATCCGCATCCTCGACCCACACGCGCGATCCACCCGCGTCCAAGCCCATGTATGTTGCCCCTTCTCCCCCAAACAGTAGTACAGTAGCCCAGGTCTGCTGGTCGTGTGACAAAGCAGGCGCCTGCGGCGGGCTAAGAGCTCCGAGAACATTGGCGCGCGCGGTGGCCTTCATTGCATTGGCACCTGAGCACCGCAGCCCACGCCACGCAGCCCGGGCACTCACTCGTTCTTATCTGCCATCTCGGGGCTTATGCATCTCCGGTGCTTTCAATTCCTCTTCTTCTTTCTCTCCCTCTCTCTCTATCCCTCTCTTTCTCTCTCCCCCCGTCCCCATCTTGATCCTCTTTGTCGTGGTCGCTCTCGTCATCCTTATCCTCTTCTGCCTGTCCTCATTTCCCTTTTTTTTCTCGGTCGATCTGCTCGTTCTGTTCCTGTTTCTGCTGTTTGTCTCCGTGCTGCCCTTTCTCCTGCGGCTAGTTCCCACGTGTTGTTGTTGCGCGCTCTACTTGAGTAAGTATACATGCTGCCTTCCGCTTGTGTACAAGGTATTGCGCTTGCTCGTGAACGCGCTGTTGTTGCTCACAGGTCGCATTAATGTTGCGGTGTGCACAAACCTCGTGGTGTTCACAAGCTTGTGGCGGTGTGCGCACGTATTGTGCTGGCAGTGTGTACAAACCAGTGCTAGTGGCGTGTGCAGGCATATTCTGTGCGCGTGCAGAGGCTCGCGGTGCGGCCAGGTCGTATTTTCCCCAATCAGAGCTTGCCTCTGTCGGGGTCCTAGCGGATTCATATGGTTAGGTTAGTTGCGTCGCCGATTTCGTTGCCACGCCCTGGTGCCCAGGTGCCCCGGTGCCCGGGAGCTGCGTCGCCGACTTCGGCGGCCCACCCAGGTGCCCGGGTGCCTGAGTGCCCAGGTGCCCCGGTGCCCCATGGCCTTACAGCCCTATAGCCCTAAAGCCCCATAGCCTTACAGACCTATAGCCCTATAGCCCTATAGACCTATAGCCCTATAGCCCTATAGCCCTATAGCCCTATGGTCGTAGAGCCCCATAGCCCTATAGCCCTATAGCCCTACAGCCCAATAGCCCTGTTGCCCCATAGCCTTATAGCCCTTCAGCCCTGTAGTCCAATAGCCCTATAGCCCTATAGCCCCATGCCCCCCTATAGCCCTATAGCCCTATAGCCCCATAGCCCTATAGCTCTATAGCCCGATAGGCCCATACCCCTGTAGCCCTATAGCCGTATATCCCTATAACCCTATAACCCCATAGCCCTATAGCCCTATAGTCATATAGCCTTATAATCCTATAGCCCTATATCCCTATAGTCCCGTAGTCCCATAGCCCTGTATCCCTATGTCCTTATAGCCCTACAGTCCTGTAGCCGATTGCCCTATAGCCATATAGCCCTATAGCCTAATAGCCCTATAGTCCTATAGCCCTATAACCCTATGTCCTACAGCTCTATCGCCATATAGCCCTACAGCCCACTAGCCCTATAGCCCCATAGCTCTATAGCCCTATAGCCTTACAGCCCTTTTCCTATAGCCCTATAGTTTTATAGCCCTATAGCTCCATAGCGCTATAGCCCTGTAGCCCTATGTCCCCATAGCCCTATAGCCTTGCATCCCTGTAGCCCTATAGCCCTGTAGCCCTATTGCCCCATAGCCCTGTAGCCCTATAGCGTAATATCCCTAAAACGGTTATGTGTTAAAGCCCGAATCGCCCTATAACCTAATATCCCTACTATCTATCCCTTATATCCGTGATATCTTTCATAGCCCTATAGCCTAATATCCCGAATATCCCAATAGCCTAAAATCCTAAAAAGTTTATGTTTCGGATTTCCGTGGCCCGCCCGGGTGCCCGGGTGCCTGATCGCCTGATAGCCCTATAGCCCTGTAGCCCTACAGCCATATAGCCCTATAAGTTTATAGCCCAGTATCCCCATAGCCCTATTGCCCTAGAGCCTTGTAGCCTTATAGCCCCATTGCCCCATAGCCCTATAGACCTATAGCCCTATGGCCCTACTGCCCTGTAGCCCTGTAATAGCCCTATAGCCCTATACTGTAGCCCTACAGTCAGATAGCCCCATCGCCCAATATCCCTATAGCCCTATAGCCCCATAGCCCCATAGCCCTATAGCCCTATAGCCCTATAACCCTATAGCCCTATAGCTCTATAGCCTTATAGCCATATAGCCCTACAGCCCTATAGCCCTATAGCTCTGTAGCTGTATATGCCTATATCCCTATAGCCCCATATCCCCATAGCTCTAAGGCCCTATTGTCCTATAGTCATACAGCCCCATAGCCCTATGTAGGACGAATGTGCGCTGCTCTCAGGCGAGAACGACATCATGAAAACCACTCGCCCTCCATATGTGAACTTGTCGCCAATTCTGAAGCTTCCGGACGAACGGTGAGGAAGTCTCAGACAAAATGCTCGGCTCGCTAAACTGGCCTCGGGGTGCGACGGGGAGAAGTTATTTATTCCCCAATCAGAGCTTGCCTCTGTAGGGGTCCTAGCGGGTTTATATTGGTGAGGTCTGTCACCGAATTCCGCGGCCCGCCCAGGTGCCCGGGTGCCCGGGTGCCTCATAGCCATATAGCCCTATAGCCCCATAGCCCTATAGCCCAACAGCCCAATAGCCTTGTAGCCCTATAGCCCTATAGCCCTATAGCCTTACAGCTTCATAGCCTTATAGCCTCTATCGCCCTAGAACGCTAGAGCCCGATAACCCTAAAGCCCTCTAGCCCTCTAGCCCTCTAGCCCTATGGTCCCATAGCCCAATAGCCTTATAGTCCTATAGCCCTATAGCCCTATAGCCCAACAGTCCTATAGCCCTTTAGCCTAATCGCCCTATAGCCCTATAGCTCTATATGCCTATAGCCATATAGCCCCGTACAACTATGTCCCTATAACCCTATAGCCCTAGAGTCCTATAGCCCTATCGCCCCTATCACCCTATAGACTCATAGCCCTATGGCCTTATAGCCCTATAGCCCCATAGCCGAAGAGCGCCAGAGCCACATAGCCATACATCCCTATAGCCCGATGGCCTTATAGCCCTATAGCCCTATAGATCTATAGCCCTACAGCCCTATAGCCCTATAGTTCCATAGCACTATAGCCACATAGCCCCATCGCCCTATAGCCCAATAGCCCTGTAGCCCTATAGCCCTAAAAAGACTTTGATTAGGGGTGCTATCTCTGGTGCCATATTTTGCGCATGTACGGGGCCATGGCGTGTTGCACGCCCAGACTGCATGGTGTAAATAAGCCTTTCGCTGCACGCGCGCCGTATGCTTGTGATGTACATGGGCTCGTGCCTGTGGTGCACTCGTCATACACGGGCCCTGTGGTGACCACGGCCTTTGCGATCTACGTGCACGCAGTACGCAGGCAGTGGTCTTGTCATTGCATGATTTCCGTCACGGTGCGCACAAGCATGCGCCTCCATGGTGCACGAGGTGGTGCACACGTTCACAGGCAGGTAGTGCACACATGTTTATGACAGGTTACTCACTATTTTCTATCAGCTGACCTGTTTGGCTTTCCTCTGAATCGCAACTCTCCAGGAGGAGGGGCTCCCGCGTGAAGGAGAGGAAGAAGAAGAAGAAGGCGCTGCTCCCGACCAGCAATTTGACGACGAGCTGAGTGACGATAGGACCGAGACCGAGTCCACTTCACAGGGCGACGACGTTGAATCTACGCTCTGAGGCGACGCAGCAGCAGGGATCAGGACCTCCATTTAGTTAGCCTGTTAGCCTGCATGCGACCCCCCCTGGCCACATTTTTCCAACTGCTAAGCAGTATGTGGCAGGCATCGCCAGAGGGAGGAGCAGGAAGCGAGCCGCATGCCGTCCGCAACGGGCATGGCTGGGCCCAACCAGGCTCAGCCATGCCTAGTGTGGAGCGAACAGTTCGCGTCAGTGGGTTAGCGGACAGAGCCACGGCAAGTACGGGTTGCAGCTCCCGCTGAAAATCCGCGGCGAAAAAGTATGTGTTGCCCTTGTCATCGTCAATGTGCCTTCCTCTTCAACTTTCCGCCTTCCGGTCGTAAACATCATCGGTTTTGGTCATCCTGATTGTTGTCTTGCTGATGTTTCTCCTGATTACCCTTCTCATTCCCCCGCTTCCTTCGCTTCGCTGTTTGCATCACGTTTACGTCCTATCCATTCCCCTACTGCCTCTGCTTCGCCTCCTATGCTTCTCGCCTCCACGACATCCTGGGACCCGTCACCCTCCAGTGCCTAAGCACCTTCCCGACGGGCCGTCCTGGGCCTCAGAGAAGCGTGGCGGTGTATCAATCACCATTGAAGCCCAGTGACTTTACGCACCGCAGCCCTCCCTGAAGGTACACGCACATTTCGTCTGAGGTCGTCTGCGTATATCTTCTGTATCATATGATATATACATATATAGATGTGTATAGATAAGTGTGTACATCTATACTTGAGGCGTGCTCACGGTCTCACCCTCTGCGGGTCGCCGCCTTGATGTTGAGCCCCTCTGTCTTTTCCCCTTGTCCGTCGACTTATGCAAGAAGCTCACGCCGCTCCGCCGACCGCCCCCCTTCACGGTCACCCTGCGCGGGTTGCCGCCCCGATTTGGAGCCCTTTTGTGTTTGCCCCCTTTTCTGTCGATATATGCCGCTTGATGTCACAGGCTTACGCCACTCCGCCGACCGCTCCCTTCACTGTCACCGTGTGCGGATTGCCACCCCGATCTTGGACCCTCTGCCTTTGCCCTTTTTCTTTGGGCGACTTATGCAAGAGGCTCACGCCACTCAGCGGACCGCCCCTTCACGGTCTTATTTCTTGTCCGCCCCGCAGTGCTCTTTACTCACGTTCTCTGTGTGTGGTAATCAACTGTCATTCTCTGGTGCCTCCGCCTCGTTCCTCGTCCCGCCTCTCCCCCATGATTCATTGCCCGCCCAGGCTCATGCATAGGCAGGCCAATCCATGCTCAGATCCACTCACACTCAGACCCACTCACATGTAGAGACACTCGCAACTCCAGCCCATCCATATTCAGATCCACCCATATTCAGACTCACTCACACACAGACTGCCCTTCCCTCACTTCATCGCATACTCAAAACCACTCATGCTCAGTCCACCCATTCCCAGGTTCGCACATACTCAGACCTGGGATGTTGCACGGGCCCGTCCGCGCCCCGATTGGTGGGACCTTTCAGGCAGACCGCTTGAAGTCCGGCAAGCACGTGCCTCCTTGCCGGAGCCGCATGATCACCGCGATGCAGCAGGTATGGCGCCTAGGCCTCTTCATGCCTGGGTGCTGCACGGGCCCGTTCGCGCCCCGACTGGCGTGACTGTGCAGGCAGAGCGCCGGCGTCGGGGAGGCGTGCCTGTGTACGGGAGGCCCGGCGCCTTGGCCTCCCCACGGGGGGGCGGCTCGGGGTGTGGCACGGGCCCGCTCGCGCCCCGATTGGGTGGGACCTTTCGGATCACGTTTGCTCTTGCGGAGGCAGACCCGCCGGTCTGGGACGGGGTATGCGGAGCAGTGGCGGCGAGGTGGCGCGGATCGTGGGGCGAACCGTGGCGTGCAGACCGACGCCCAACACGGCTAGACCGCCCAAAAACGCGAGTCTTCGGGCCTCGATCCGGGGGGAACCGTAGGCTGCGACTTCAAGCAGGCTGGCTTGAGCGTCGGCCCTGCTATGTCCCTGGTGGGAAACTGGGCCTGATCTGGCCTGATCCCGCGTGCTCGTGCCAAACTGGAATCATGCTTTGCTTTATCTGGCGTCTCGGTCTTGCGTGACAGCCTCTTTATCGGCCTCGGGCGTCTTGACTCGTTCCTGCGAAGAGTTCTCAGGTTTTCGCTCTCGGCACGAAGTTCGATCCTAGATCGTCGAAACCCGATCGGGGGGGGAATCCCCCGCCCTCCTCGAGATGGTTGCCGCCCCCACGGCCGAAGGAGTCCTGAAGACTCGATCCTCGAACCGCGAATCTAGATCCTCGATCCTCGAACCCCGACTTGGGGGGACCGCAGCCATCGGCGATCGACGTTTGATGCCCAGCCCTCTTTCTGATGCCCCCCACTCTGGGCGCCAGGGGGGCAGTGCGTGGACGGTCCTGTTCTCCCGAGGCTTGTTCTGTCGATCCACGCCACCCTCCCAGCCAGCCGGAGAGAAGGATCGACCGACGCTCGGAGTGCGAGCTGCGCGCGCGCCCCCTGGCTGCATGCCTTCATGGGCTCAGCGGACGCTGGCCTGCCCATGGCATGGGCACAGTCGGGGCGTTGAAGGAGGAACCCATTTCGTTTGGGAGGGGCTCCGTGTTCCTTAACTAGTTGTTTTACACTTTGCCTTAGGTTGTCCTTGGTTTTCGATGGGAAGCCAAAGTTGAACTTGAGGGAAAATGGGCCTCGTTCCTTGTTTACCATTCCTTAGGTCAACGCCCCAATTGTATGGGTAGGGTGCCGATCGCGTACTGCAGGGTTGCGATCAGAAGGAGTGCTGGCCGCCGTCACGCAGCAGCGCCCTGGGCGGTCCTCGGGCCCCCGGCCTGCTCGTGGGCGTCGTTTTCATTGGCCATCCTCTCCAAAATCCTGCCCAGCGGCGGACAACAAAACACATGAAAGGTTCAAAAATAGTCTGGCCTTGGGGATCGAAGGAGTTGTCATCACTTCCGCCGCGGAAGCCGGCGGAAGGGCGGCGGAAGGTCGGCGGAAGTAAAACGAGGCCGCCTCCGCGGGCGTAAGCCGGCGGAAGGGCGTCGGAAGGTGACGGAAGTAAAATACAAGCGCCTCCCAAGAGGTGAAACGTTTTTGTGTTCAGGCTTTCCGAAGTCAGGCGATTTTTTCGCTTTCAGCGATCCCCGCCCGAGAGCGCGAGGCGGGATCCCCAGGGAGCTCGAGCACACTTTTGACCCTGGCGGCTGCGGAATGCAGTCATCCTCACTCGGCGGAGGCACGAGGCGGGATGCCCCGGGAGCGCCCGCACGCTTGCTCTGGGCCCGGCGGCCGCGGCATGCAGGGCATGCGCGGCGGGTCGGGGTCTCCTTTCCCTTTTTGCCCGAAGAGGAAAAAGTGGCACAAACATAAACGTTTGGCGCTCCGCGCTGAATTTCTTGGATCTGCGCTGGTTCCAGCGCAGAGCCAAGAAATCCAGCGCGGAGCGCCAAACGTTTATGTTTATGGCGTTTTGTCTTCTTCTATTTACACCTGGCCACCCCGGGCTGTCGGGTGGGGAGCAAGATATTGTTTTGAACAAGTATGCCATCTTGTGAGTAATCGCCGAGCGCGTTCCGCTGCTCGCGAACTGCCCACTCGCAAGCGCCAGCAAAAGAAATACATGGCTGCCTGGATAGGATGTGTTGGATCATGGACCAGAAGCCACCTGCGGCGGATCCAGGCCATCTGCGAGCAGTTACTCTGCGATTCGTGGAGCGCGCTCGCCTGTAAGATGCCCCTTCTCGGTCACCTGCCCCCGCCCTATGGAGAGGTACCCGCCCTGGGAGCTTGCTGTTCTTCAGATTTCGGTAAATTAACTTCTATGGCCAGGGGGGGGGGGCGTACCTAAAGCAAGCCGCAAAGGACTTGCGCGTGCGGAAATGATGCAAGTGGAAAGGCACTCGTACGTTAGTGTTCGTTGGAAGAGAGGGGCAGGGGTGGGGTGGCGTAGGGGGAGGTGGGGGCGGGGGGGGGGCGAAGGCCATGCAAGTAATTTTGCCCGAATCTATACAAAATAAGCGCCAGCCCCCGCCCTTCTCTGGAGGGCTGCCCGCCCTCCAGGCGGCCGACGGCGCCGGTGCCAGCGGCCCGCTGCTCTTCGAGACCAGTGCCGCCGGGCGCGCAGTCTGTCCGCCTCCCGCCGTCCTCTCTTCCTCCCTCCCGCAGCTCCTCCGCCTCCCCCTCGTTCTAGTCCTCCTCCTCCTTCTCCTCCTCGTCCTCCTGCTCCCTGCTCCTCCTGCTCCCTCCTCCTCCTGCTCCCTCCTCCTCCTGCTCCCTCCTCCTCCTGCTCCCTCCTCCTCCTCCTCCTGCTCCCTCCTCCTCCTGCTCCATCCTCCTCCTGCTCCCTCCTCCTCCTCCTCCCTCCTCCTCCTCCTCCTCCTACTCCTCCTCGTCCTCCTCTCTCCTCCTCCTCCTCCTCCTCCTCCTCCTCGTTCTCCTCCTCCCTCCTCCTCCTCCTCCTTCTCCTCATCCTCCTCCCCTCCTCCCTCCTCCGCCCCCCCCACCCCCCCAATTGTCCTCCTCCTCCTCCTCCTCCTCCTCCACCTCCTCCTTCTCCTCCTCCCCTCATCCTCGCTCCTCCTCCTCCTCCCCCTCCTCCTCCTCCTCCTCCTCCTCCTCCTCCACCACCTCGTCCTCCTGCTCCCTCCTCCTCATCCTCGTCCTCCTCCTCGTCCTCCTCGTACCTGTCTGGGCCGCACCGTGGGGAAAAAAAGGGCCTGTTCGATGGGCGCCCTCAGGTTTTTTGGGGCTCTCTCTCCCTCTCTTTCTCCGTCACCCCTTAGTGGCGTGCGATTGTCCTCCTCTTCGTCAACAATTACACAATATGAATACTACTCTCCCACTTCCCCTGATGGCGTCCGGAAGATGTTTACACACAGGATTCCCCGGAGTTGGGTTTTCGCTTGTGTTTTTTTCTAAAATGCTGCTCTCGCTGAGGCGCTGGCCTAATTTTCGGGCTCCCGCTCCTTCCGAATCGTGTTCCCGCTGCAGCGCTGGCCTCATTTCCGCGCTCCCGCTCGTTCCGAATCGTGCTCCCGCTGCAGCGCTGGCCCAATTTCTGCGCCTCTCGTTGTTCCAAAACGTGCTCCCGCTGCAGCGCCGACGTTTTCGATCCTTTTTAAGAAGCCCCAAATCTAGAAAATGATCCCCGGCCAAAACATTGGAGGTGATTACACATCCGGTGTCGATTCGTTGATTTTTGGGGCCGCAGAAAGCCCCCCCCCCCTTTTGGGCGGCGTCCTTTTCCGCACAGGATTCCCGGGAGTTTGGTTTTCATCTATGTTTTTGAAAATCCGAGTCTTTCCGGTCCTTCAGAATGTTGCTCCCGCTGCAGCGTTCGTCCTATTTTCCGCGCCGCTGGTCGTTCCGAATCGTGCTCCCGCTGCAGCGTGGGCCTCATTTTCGGATCGGTGTTTTGCCTTCGTCGTTCAGGATGGCGTTCTCGCCCCAGCGCGGGCCTCTTTCTCGCGCGCCCATCCGCCCGCCACCACCGCGCCGCACCACGCCCCGCCCCGCCGCACGCACACCCACCGCCACTTCCACCCACCAACGCACGCACGCACGCACGCGCACCACCACCGCGCACCGCCACCACCACCGCACTACCCCACCCACCACCACCACGCTACACCGCGTCACACCACATCACACGCGCGCACACACAGACACACGCACGCACGCACGCACGCACGCACGCATGCACACACACATACACACATACACACATACACACATACATACATACATACATACACACATACACACATAGACACATAGACACATAGACACATAGACACATAGACACATAGACACATATACACATAGACACACAGACACATACACACATACACACATACACACGCACACACACGCACACACACGCACACACACACGCACACACACAGACATACACACACCACCACCGCCCACACACACACACACACACGCACACACACAGACACACACACACACACCACCACCGCCACCACCACCACCGCCATCACGCACGTACGCACCTGGCCCACCACCAAACCACCAAGACGCCACACCACGTCACACCACAGCACACGCGCACACACGCACACACACACACATACACCACCACCACAACAACCACAACCACGCACACACGCACGCACGCACGCGCACCACCACCCACTACGCACACGCGCGCGGAGCCACAGGTCCGCGCGTCCGCGGGTAGAGAAAATTAGCGCCATGGTAAGGGATGGGAGGGAGGGGTAGGATGTCAGATGTTGACGCGAGCGCACCTATTTTGCCCCCCCACCCCCTAAGAGTTCCCCCTCCCTCCCAGGGGGGGGCCAGGACAGGGGTAGATCGTTACAGGGCACTATGGAGCGCACCGAGAGCGTCTGGAACGCTCTGAGAAGGCCGTGGTGCTGGTCCGATTTGCCCCTGCCCTGGCCTCGTCTCGCGCTGCATGCGTCCAGGGGCTCTGGCCGCCCATGTCTTCGACGAAGCTCATCAGCGAATGCGTGTTAATGCCTGCCCCTTAGGCTGTCCGCCTCTCCTGCCTCCGCCAGTGAGAGTCGGGCCGCGGGCAGAAGTCGTCGGCGCCGAGGCCGCAGTTGGCGGCGCGCAGAAGGGGGATGGAGCTTGAGGACTTCAAGTGCTTGTCTCTCGGTGGTAACCTCCAGGGCCCCCGTGGCCACGGCTAGGCGCAGCTCGAAAAACCGGCCGGGATGGGCCCCAGGAAGGGCTCCGGAGACCAGTTCTGAACGGATTTGGGCTCGGGTTGGCGCAGGGGGGGCGGCCTTCTCAGAGGACAGGTGGCTTCGGACAAGCCCTGACGCCTTCTAGGAGTGCTTCTTCGAAAGCTGCGAGCCTGTCGAAGCAGCCCTCATGCAGTCGCAGGCGTATTCTCTCCCCGAAGTCCCCGAGTCCCTCCAAAACACTTGCCGCGTAGGGAAAAAGATCAACTCGGGGAGGACGCACCCCGAGGGGGCAATCTGGACAAAGCCTTCCCGTCGCATACTCTTGATGTTGGCTTAACTGGTTGGTCCATTCCAATCAAATCCACGAAGTCAGGGGCTAGGTCGCCCTACCCTGGTTATGCATTCTTGGAGGGCCCCCCTCTCGCGCCGTCCCCCACTAGTCCATCCCAACGGCAGGAGCACAGGCAGGTCTCAGGCGAGGCCACGCTTTGATAATCAGTGACAGCGTTCAGGCACTGCTTCTGCCTTGGCCCGTCCACCGTAAGTCCCGCACCCCTCCCACCCACCCACCCGCCGCTGCGCAGCTGTATTCCGATTGGTAAATATCACGATCCCGTGCAGCGGCTCTGGCGCTAACCCACGCACAGCGACTTCCATCCGCGCTGGGCATGCGGAAAAGTAGCATCACTGAGGTCGGGGCCGCTTCAGTGAGAGCCATATTTTGAACGGAACCGCGAGGCGTAGCGGCCACCTCGACTCAGACTAGCAACCGGCAGCGATCCGAAGGCTCCCGCATTTCTCGCGCCTTCCCAACGATCCCCGGCTCGCCCTCTGATGTATGGACACAGGTCCTGAGAGGGGATCACATACGGTTCTTACTGCGGGTGGCGATCTATAATCCATTCATTGTCTTTGGTGCAGAGCTCTCGCCTGGAATAGATTGCAAGAGTATTGGATGTGGACATTCCTTTGCTCAATGGCACTCGAGTTCGGGAATGGCCTGATAGACAGTACCACGTCCAGAATCTTCCAGGGAGACGGACGGCGATTCACTTAGGATGGCGGCGCTCCCGTACGTGACAAATGGTGCAGGCACATGCATAGTGGTGGGAAGACGACCCAGACGGAATCGCATCACTTCAGTCACCCCAGCACCACGCGGACTGGAAGGCAGATCGGGGGACATCCGTATCAAGACAGGAGCTATCGACATCATGGCTTTGACGGGGTACCCACCACTACTCCACAAGACGGGCAGCGTTAAGAGGGCGCAGCACAACAGCATCGAACTCACCGTGGAACATGTTCACGGGAAAAAATCATTATACGCCAGCCAAATGCACGCCGATCGGAGGACTCGACATACACTCAGCTTTCGGTTGCGCCAGTGGGGGGCAGACCAACCTCGACCCAGTGGAGCATTGCTTCGGAGCCTTCCACCTCAAGAGGAGCGGCTGCGCAGGCAACATGCTTTGCGAAACGCTTTCGTCGATGGACTCCACCAGTGCGTACCATCCCGAGGCGGGCCCGACGTCCTTCGGCCCCAGCAGCGACACCAACACATTTGATATAGGCATCATACCATCGTTGCTGCTGGAGGGACTTAACACATTCACGCTGGCTCGGAAGCGGGGCCGCCACTTGTATATGATACCTGGCTCTCGCCCACGGGACCTCCCCCGAATTTTTACCGTTGATTCAGAGATGCCGACGTACGTTCACCATTCCATTCGCCCACACTGGGACTACACGGAGCTACGCCACGTCCCGCAAACACTTGTACTCAGCGAGTGTACGTCGGATCGCAAGGCAACTCGCTGTACAGAAGAAGTGTGTGTTAAGAACCGTGTACTCTGTCATCTTCTTATCTACAAGCCCTCCCTGTCCGAGCGACGTTCCCACATCGGACCAAAAGGCAACGAGGGAGGCATGGGAACACAACGTACCGAATTACCCGCAGAGCTTGACCAATTATTGCCACCACGAAATCTGATTTTCTACGTATACGATCTAGTACGAGAGCTGACCGCAGACTCGTTAGTACAGCAACTACTTTCCGACAAAGGCAAGTTAAGAAGAGGCGCGGCACTACGCAATGGATGGTTCTCGTCGAGATCGCCCTGATGAGCATGGACCACACTAACCTTTCCAAGGCTCTGACCACGCAGGGAGGGGTGGACTATTGCGCGCAGGACACCACGTTGAACGCGACAATGACATCCGAGAGCCCAGCGCCGACGGCCACCACAGCGATCATTTTTTTGCTGGCCGCGACGTCGTCATCAGTCCCATTACATCGCGTGGACCGCCAGGAGGCTGACACATTCGCCAACCTGGACGACCATGGGCGAGAAGACGGACCACCACCACCATCAGCACAACCAGAACCAGTAACAGAACAACCACGAGCACGATGCGGACGACAAAATAGATCAGGGGCAGCATCTCAGTATACTATGGCACGTGACCATGTCATGGAGATGCTGATCCACTGCCTTCGAGCCAACCAGCCACCGACCTAGTCAAGCATCACGGAAGGCTTCCTCTTCGGCAAGGAATCAAGCGATGAAGATGGACAGCCAGAGGATCATGCATTACTGGGCACTATATGGCAGAGTTTCTACGTTGCGATATACAACTGGGGAAACAGAACACAAAAATGGAGCAGCGCGATCCCCAGACGCTGGCGAGGTTGGCTGACGCATCGGCGACGGGAAGGGGCTACTCTGGCGCAGAGACGCACTGGGCGGTCACTTCGACGGCACAGCAGCTCGCGCGGGAAGACCTGCGCGCTTTGGCGCACCGGCGACTCGCGAACCGCATCGGCTAAAGGGGAAGCATTTCTGCTGCATTACGGCGGACTGCGAGGATCGAGTGGGGCGCCGAAACAGTTCACAGGAGTTTATCATGCTTGCATGTCGGACTGGAAGAGTTCCACGCAGGACCCGATCATCCTGTGCGATGAGATTGAGGGATACCACCAGGACGCGTCAGTTTCGCTGACGACACATTTAAGGGCCGCATCTGCCCATCGGGCACCGCAGAGGAGACGATGGAGACGATTCGATCTGGCGACAAGACGTTCGATTCCCCACTTCAACACTGTCATTTGCGCTGGGCAAGTCGAAACAAGACGTCGTGCCTCGTCTCGGGCCCCGCGGTGAGAATCGGAAGTTCCGGGAGATGAGCCCTCCGCCCCAGGGCCGGGCCGTTTCGGACGCGCGCCGCCCCGGGGCCGGGCGCGCGCGACGACCGAGAGCGACCAGTTGGAGGCCCCCATCCGCGCGCGCGCCGCGGCCGCGGGGCGGCGCCGCCGAGGGCTGTTCTGGAACGAGAGGGGCCTCTGGAAGCCGAAGAGGGAAATGCCCTCTGGAAAGGCGGTGGAGGCGGGGCTCTCGGGTTCGGGGGCCTTCGTCTTGAAGAGCGCCGAGAAGGAGAAACTGTGCTCCCAAACGACGGGGCACCTTCGCGCCTGGACGCAGGGTCTCGCCAAGACGACCCACGCGGACTCGCGCGCGACTGCGACGAGCGACCTCGACGTGCTCGAGCACAGGAAGACGCCGCCAGCGAGAGCCGAGCAAGCGGTCAGGATGACGAAGTGGCTTCAGAGCACGCTTCGCCATAAGCCAGCCCGCAGACAAACATGCGTCGCCATTTTTTGACATATCCCGATGGGGGCCCCCAACTGCGAACGAAACTGGCCGCGCCCAAGCTACGGCGAGCCCTTCGGCCCACCAGTTCTCCAGGGATCTCTTCCGGGGCATCGGCGGCGCGGAAAGCTTCTGGGGGGCCTGGGCCGACACGAACGAGTCCTGGAAAGGCTTCCGCGCCCCGAGTTCCGAGGCTGAGCGTGAATTTCCACGCCTAAATCCCAGTATTCCCCGAGCAGCAGCGCGCGCCCCTGGGGGCCTCATCTGGCCCCTTTCTACGATTGGCCGATAGGCGTGATCGATGCAAGCTCGGAGGTATATCAACGCGACTCCTTATCGCATCATCGACAGTCGACTACCCCGGATGTCTCCGGGCACTAACTCCGACTCCGAATTCTGAGCAGCGCGATCGGAAACCGACGTCCTAATTGCCGCGCGGCCTTGAGGGGCAGAATGCGCGCGCAGCCATCTAATCTGCACTTGCGCCCAGGGTCGGCGCCGAATGGGGAAGAATGCAATGAGATTGGGCCTTCGGTGGGTGACCGACCCGACGCGTTCGATTGGTTCCGCGGCCTATTCGGATCTGGCCTCTCTCCACGCGCGCGGCAGGCGGACGCGCCATCCGCGACGGTGCCCATGCTTGGGCCATGCCCGCGCTTGTCCAAAGCAGCAGCGGCGGCGCCGCAACGGAAGGGCCCGGGCGCAATCAACGGCAGCGCCATCGCGGAGACAGCGAGGGCGGCGAGAGAGAAACCATCGAGGCCGCGATGCAGCAAATGCCCGCCCATGCCAGGAAGCTGATGACACTCGCCCTGAAACAACTACTTCGGTGCGCCCAGCAGAGCAGGGACATGGGCAGCGTGATCTTCGCTGCGTGCGCCCTGCTGAGCAGCGGCCCGATCGCCCCGCGCGCGCCGGACCAGGCGGCGGCCCGCGGAAAGGTTACCAGAGAAAAAGAAAGAGCCAAGACGTGGGGGCACCGCAGATTCACGCGATGGGCAGTCTCCTGGCGGCGGCGAAGGATTTGCAGCCCGAGGAACCGCTGAAATCGAACATGAGCAACGTGCGCGCGGACTGCGACTGCGACGACAACGGGCAGAAGTGCGAGCTGGTGCTCTTCTGCAGGGCCGACAGAATGCACGAGAAAGGGGCCCGCCGTTCAGGGGCTATCTCGCGGCGGCGCTGAAGACGACTTCGGCCAATCGCATGTTCGGACGTGCCCCCGCCGCGCGCGCGGGGGGGGGCTGCAGGAGTGGGTGGGGCAGCTCTTGCAGTAAGCAGCCCAGCACACGAGCAGGCCTCCTTTATCCCCATGTCTCTGATCCGCGGGCTTGCACGATGTTTTCAGCAACCGACAGTGTTTTCCCTTGTGGCCGAAATTTGCGATGGTTTGTCGTGGAACAAGAGCCTCTTAGAGCAAGCTCGAATGTGGCATCGACTTCAAACGCGATCACCCCGCGTTCTGTTCTGGCGCGATCCCCTCGACCTCTCTACGCGTCAGAGGTCGCGGGTCTCAGACCGGGGCCCTATCGGGCCCGTCGGCTGCGAGACCTCCACATAGGGCCGGGGTCTTGTGACCGCCGAGAAGCAGGGGCATCGCCTCGATTTATGGCGAGAGATTCGAGCTGGAACTTTTTATGCTTAGTTGTGCGAAGTCAGACATCGGCGTCAATGCTGAGAATGAAAGAAAGAAAAAATGCCCCGCAAGGAGTTCTGTTCTGATGGTGGGAACTGCTACTGCGGCGCACAGACCGACCCACGTTTGACAAAACGACCTGCCCTCCATGGCGCCCGGAGGAGACTGCCGGCAAGACCTCGCAAACGTTTCGCGTTTGCGATGCAGAACGGTGGAGAAGCCTCGAGGTGACCTCCTGCGTGTAGAGTTCCATGGGGCGATTCCATCTGAGTCGCTGCGGTGCCCGCCGCCCATGCTCTGTGCAGGGCCGGTGCGCTGCGCGACGCTGGGTGTCTTTCTTTCTGTCTGTCTCTCTGTGTCTGTCTGTCCATCCGTCTGTCTGTCACCGTCCACGCGGTCGTAGCGGCGCTCCCGGGTAGCGGATCCCAGAGGCCCCGGCTGGCGCAACCCCTTCCCCCCCGGGGATGGCTGATGCTTGGTGGCCCGAGCGCCGTGCGACGGTCGTCCTCGGGGGGCTGACGCAGAGCGTTGTTGGTTTGCGCCGGCCCCCAGCCACGCTTCGCGCTCGGACTCCTCCTCCTCCTCCTCCTCCTCCTCCTCCTCCTCCTCCTCTTCCGCCAGTCTGTCTGTCTGTCTGTTGCCCTCCGTCAGAGTAGCCGCTGGAAACAATGGAGCCACATGAGCGCGCTCTTGGGGCGAGAGACATATTGGAGAGCTTTACGGCCAGCGCCGCCTACCCTGAACGACGACGACGACGACGACGACGACGACGACGACGACGACGACGACGACGACGACGACGACGACGACGATGCCGACGACGCCGACGCCGACGCCGACGACGACGGCGGCGTTGGCAGCGGCGGCGGCGGCGGCGAAGACGACGACGACGACGACGACGACGACGACGACGACGACGACGACGACGACGACGACGAGCGCTGTCGGGGGCCTCTTGGAGGTAGTTTTGGGCCTCTTGAGAGGCTTTTGGTGGCCTTTCTGGGGGCCTCGTGGGGGCCTCTTGGGGCTTCCTGGGGGTCTCTTGGGGGCCTGTTGGGGTCTCTTGAGGGGCTCTCGGGGCTTCCTGGCCTCCTGGGGGGTTTTCAGGCCAAGGGCTCGAGATGTCTGTTCGGGTCCCCATGTCAGGGCTCCCTCTTGCAGCCGTTTTGGGGGCCTCTTGGGCTGTCTTGGGGCCTCTTGGGTGGTCTTGGGGCCCTTTTGGGTACTTTTGGGGCCCTCTTGGAGGCCTTTGGGGCGATTTTGGGGTCCTCTTGGGCTGTTTTGGAACATCGGGAAGCCGACAAGGCCAGAACGTCAAAATTTTTCCAACATCTGAACGGATATTTGTGATTTTCGCCCAGTGGGGTCCTCCTGGGAGTGCTCTTGGAGGTCTTTTGGGGCGTTCTAACAACCTCGTGTTCTGTCTGGAGACTACTTTGGCGCTCTTGGACCGATAATTCAGCGATTCGGGGCCCTCGAGGACCGTCTTGGGGGCCTTTTGGAACACCCTTTCCGCGTCTTGGGGCTTCTCTGGGGCCCCGAATCGCCCGGGGGGGTGCGTTTCTGGGGGTGCGACCCCCCCCCTTGGGACCCCTTTCCCCACCCGCCGGGGAAAGGGATCAAAGGGAAGGGGCTCCCCTTCGACTTAGCTACGACTTGCTCGATGTCGGTTGGGGAGGCGCGCTTAAGGAGGAGGGCCCAGGGAAATGAGACGGGGGACGACGGAGACGACGACTGACGGAGACGACGGAGGCGGAGACGACGACGGAGACGACGAGGAGGCAACGGAAACGAGATGACGACGACGACGGAAACCAACGGTAGAGCGTCTTCCACACGCCGACATGGTCCGCGGACATAAACTCGAACAGTCGTACAACTGCTTGCAAACAGCATGTTTCGTGTACTAAGTAGACGCGAAAAGAAGCCCAGCGAAACGCCCGGTCCTTCATATCGATACTTGTCGTTGTCCGGCGGGGAAGGTTTTCTTTGCGGGGGGGAGAAGGAGGGAGAGCGGCAGCATCATTGGCTGGAGGACGGGCGATGATAATTCTTGGACCGCAACAACCCATGTGAGACCCCCCCCCGCTCCTGCCTTGTCCTCCCCCAAAGGGGGAGAAGGAGGAAAGAAGGATGAGGATGAGGAGGAGCAGGAGGAATGATGAACAAGGGACGGAAAGATAAGATAAAAGTTAATGGGGGAGGAGGACTAGACATCACCATGAAGCACTCGATATCCCCATAACCCTGTGGACCCCCCGATTCCTATGCGTGCTTCCCGCTTCTCTTCTCATGCGATGACCCCCTTGTACCTTCCAGCGCACCCTGAAGCGCGCCAGAGGCTTCCTAGCCCCCCGTAACCTCCTTCCGAAGTGGCCCCCCTCCGCTCCCCTTCTCCCTCTGTGTTTAGTGCATCCTCTGACCTCGAAGAAAGGAGGATGAGGAGAAACGGGAAAGCAAGCAGGAGGAGGAGGATGAGCAGGACTTCCGAGAGCCTCGTCGGAAGCCTTGCAGCCGAGTGGAGCAGTCCCCTTCTCTCTTTCTCCCTCGTCCCTGTTCCTACCCCACCTCTTCCAGGGAGGAGGAGGAGTAGGAGGAGGATGAGGAGGACCAATGAGGGGCATGGGGGGAAGCAGGAACAGCATCACGGACGCAGAAGAGGCGGAAATATGTTCTTTGGGTCCCCAGACCGCTTGAGGGCTCTTCGGGACAAATTTGAAGCCCCCACACCCGCATGAGCATCTTCACTTTCAACAAAACATCTCCCCAATTTCGAGGAATGGCGAGGAGCAGATGGAAGGATGCAGACGAGGAGTATGAGATGGAGGTCGACGAGGGTGACTCGAACCCACGCAGTGGCTCCCAGACCTCTCGACCCCTTCCCTGGGAGCGGCGTCTCATCCAGAGTCAAGCTATTAAAGCCCCTGAGTTCGAATACGGCACTCGGACGACGAATCTTGCAAAAACTTTTGCATCAGTTTATCTTGACGCTAGAGCGCCCCTCTGGCCTGGGGTCCAGGGTACGTTCTGGGTAGAATGTTGATGGGTATCTGTCCGTGGCGACAAGAGCGCGATGGTAGGCACAACGAACAAAAAGCCTGTCGAGGGAGGACTGCGAGGAGGGCGGATGAGGAGACGGATGATCGAGGAGGCGAAACAGGAAGGAGGCGGAGGAGGACCAGATCGAACACGAAGAACGAGGTAAATGGGGAGGAGGAGGAGGAGGAGGAGGAGGAGGAGGAGGAGGAGGAGGAAGAGGAGGAGGCAGGGCGAGGAGGAACGAGGAGGCGGATCGAGAGTGACGCATGAGGAGGTGAGACCAGGAGGAGGAGGAGGAGGAGGTGGAGGAGGAGGAAGAGGAGGAGGAGGCGGAGGAGGAGGAGGAGGAGGAATGATGCGTTGGAGGGGGATGATGAGGAGGAGGAGGAGGAGGAGGAGGAGGAGGAGGAGGAGGACGACGCGGACGAGGAGGAGGAGGAAGAGGAGGAGGATTTGTGCCAATTTTGGCTCAAGGTCGCGGCGCCTGCTGCGACCAGGCAATCGGCAGGTTGAGATCGACAATTCCCTCTGTTTCACTTTCTGTTCACATCTTGGCGATATTTTCGGTACAGCAGGACCCCCATTTCTTAGCGGCGAAGCTGCACCGAGCCGCCATCCTCAAGATGGCACAGTCAGCCGGCCGCCCATTCCAGAGGTTTTCTGCAGCGGCGGTTGCGGAGTTGGGATGCCACTTTGGGGCTGGTGGAACAGATCCGTAAAGAGAGCGTGTCGGCGCACCTCGCTCGCTTGAACGAAATCGCACGAGGCTCCCCAGCAGGCAGGCGCAGCGGGCATCAGTTCGCAGCAGGCCGAACGAGTTTGGCTCCGAAGACCTGAAAGACACAGAAGGCTCGTTCGTGGCTGAGGCAAACGCGAGCCCTGAGGACTCAGGCGTGGAGAAGCGCAGCCAGCAGCACTACATGGCTACGTACATCAATGACGAGAGCTTGTTCGACATCAAAGGTGTGGCCAGGGTCAGGGCAGATGTTCTGCAATCGACTTCGCTCATGGCCGACCTCGGAGCGAGCCAGCAGCAGCATCACTCCCAGACGCACATGCTCATGGATCATACGCAGCAAGCTGGGAGCGAACGCGAAGCGAACAAGCAGCGCATGTTGCAGAACGAGGAAAGCCTACTTCGGTTCAAGGACGCCTGGGGCGACATGCAGCAGCAGCTGACCACGCAGCCCGGCAAGAGGCAGGTGCAGGCCATGGAAAAGTCCTGGAACGAGAACAGCACGGCCGTCTCTCACCGTTGCGGCAAGAGTGCAGAAGCATCCAGAATTCTCGACACCCATCAGGAACACCTGCGGCAGTGCTTGAAAGAAGCTGCAGCGCTTGCAGGCGCACTCCGCGATCTGGGGGTGCAGAAAGCACAGCTTCAGCAGGAGGCCAGCGCGTCAAATCCTTGGCCGTCGGATTGTCCGCATAGCGAGAGCAGCACGGACCTCTACATTGCAAGCAAGAAGCTTGAGGCTAGACGAAAACGATTTGACGCAGGTTGGCCAGGGTCATGAGCAACCCAGTTTTTAGGCCCTGCATGTTTTCGGCAATGCATGCTAATGCGTGCCAGCGTTGTCTCCATCATGGTACACGTTTGCAGCCGATCCGCCCCGTTGCCATGGGCCTTGTGTCAGAGAGATCTCTCTGTTGTCTGCCCGTCAGCTGTAAGGGGCTGGGAGGTTCATTGGGCGGGGTGCGGGTGAGGTAAAACATGTGCGTCTCCAGCCGGCGCCGGAGCTCGGGCACTAGGGCTTGAGAAAGCGAAGGAAGGTCGTTGCCAGCAACATGGCGCTTTTTAGAGGGACCAATGCCCCTCGCTCTGCATTCTGCCTCGCTTCTGATCTTCCTTGATATCCCATCCCTCTCCCACTCGTTGGCATTCGACCCGTTGCGTTTAAGCAGTGGCGCGGCAGTGAATCGATGAGGGCTAGTTTGGGCGGTTACATTGGGAGTTGCGTGCGTGGACAAGGGCGAGCTCGAGGCGTTCATAGAGCGTCCCAGGTTGCGCGAGCAGCTACCCACACTCACCCGTAGTTCCTCGAATAAGCGAGGCCGGGCGAATTACAATATTGCATATGGCATGGGTCATGACGCCTCTGCCCCCGAACAGCCGCCTGTAGGGCATTATGTTTGTCACGCGGTGCCTTGCATGCTCGCGCTGGGTGTTCTTAAGGGTATCCCTCACTCCTCTTCCGTGGCCAAGGAAGTCCTTGACCACATAGGTCGGGGATTGCTTCCCGAACCCTCCTGCCGCAGCTGCCACTTGGCAGCAAGCGATAGAAGGTCGGATTGGGAGGGATGGGAGGTACGGGTGGGGACCTGCACGAACAACTTCCATACTTCGAGCCCGTGGCGAGTTGGCCTGGCGCGGCGCGCAGCAGAGCCGAGAGGGAACCAACTCACGGCACCCATCCCTGCCCTCTCTTGCCTTCCCCTCTTGCTCCCCCTCCAGAAGTGGCGTGGAGGATGGTGTCGAGTATGAGGGTGTGTGTGCGTGCGTGTGTTCGTCTTTATGTTTGCGTGCGTGGCTTCTGGAGGGGGAGCAGGACTCCTCCTCGTTCCGAGCGTGCAGGTCCCAGCTGGAGAGCCTGCTCGTTCCAGAAGCTCCCACAGCGAAGCTGGGTGGTGAGCCAAACGGGGGCCACTGCTCCTAGAGCAAGGGGGTGCCCAGAGAAGTTGGACTGTGATGAGAGGATTGCTAGGTGGTACCAGTTATGGGCACCCCCTCCTTTCCCCTCCGTGAGCGGGAGCACAGGCGTTTGGGTTGGGCACATCCGTCCCCCTCCCACCCCTCTCGTTCCCCTTACTCCCTCTCTCTCTCTCTCCCTCTGTCGCGCTTTGGGCGGTGTGCAGCTTGCTGTACCTCCAGTTCGGCGCGCAGGACTCTTCGGCGGGCGTGTGTGCGCGAGGAGGAGGAGGAGGAGGAGGACGAAGAGGAGGAGGAGGATAATGAGGAGGAGGGCAAGGGAGGAGGAGGAGGAGGAGGAGGAGAGAGAGGAGGAGGAGGAGGAGGAGGAGGAGAGGAGGAGGAGGAGGAGGAGGAGGAGGAACGAGGGAGCCACGATGGGGAGGAACGAGGTTTACGAGGAGGCTGGAGAAGCGAGGGGAAACGTGGGGTTGGAGGGGAAGCGTGGGGAGAGAGGCGCCCCGACGCTGCTACCCACCAGGCGCCCCTCGCCCGCCGGGCGGGCGGCTCGACCGCACGGCCCAGGGGCGAGGTGCACGACCAGCATCGTCTTCCTGGACGAGGGGGCCTCGCTCCAGGCGCTGCCGACGTGGCTGTCGGTCGTCGCTTCCGCCCCCCGTGGTTGCCACCGCAGTCACCGTCTTCGTCAGGGAGGGTCGGGTGGGAGGTCGGGGTGGGGGGAGGGGCGGGAGAGCGGGGGGGAGGGGGGGGGGTAGGAACGGGGGAGGCCGTGCGAGGAGGAGGACGAGGATTCGAGAGTGGAAGGAGGAGGAAGAGTGGCGGGAGGGGGAAGAGGAGAGAGAAGGGATGAGCCGGGGAGGACAGGAGGATGAGGAGGAAGAGGAGGAAGAGGAAAAAGGGAATGAGGGAGGAGGCGGATGGAGGTGGATGGAGGTGGAGTGAGTGGATGAGGGGGACGAGCGGGATGAAGAAGGACGACCAGGGAGGAGGGATGAGGCGGATGATTGGACCAGGAAATGGAGGAGAAGGAACGGCAGAGCGAGGGGAAGAGGGGGAAACGGAGAAAGGGTTCTGGGATCCTTCCCAGTCCGTCAGCCTTAGCCTGCTGACTGAGGCGCGCGGGAAGGTATTCGGAGGTTTCCCATGTTTGATGTTTTACATTGCGCCTGTAAGATTTGACACCGCGCTAGTAAGACGTGCCACCTTGAATACGGACAGTAACGCTTGCTTAGCTTGTCGCGCCGCCGGTTCTGGTCCATAATACTTCGGCGCGACACGCCAAGAATGTCCCAGTCCCCAAGCATCAACGTTCCGAACGTTTATCAGCCTCCCGCCTCACGAAGTTGATCGACACGCTATCAGTTTACAAGGCATGTTGTATCGCCAGGGCCGCCGCCGCGACAGGCTAAGTAGCAGTTTCGACGACGACTTCGACTTCGTCGGAGGACGTCGGCGGACGACGAGGGATGACGACGACCGCGGATGTTGACGACGGACGACGACGATGACGGACAACAGGGATGGGGACGACGACAACCTTTGACGACGGTTGACGGTGACGGCGATTATGCGAATGTCCGAGGGGCACAACCGACTGACGACTTTCGGAGTTCCGCGCGGATGTCGTGGGTCATCGATGAGTCGCCCCCGATGGCGCCTCGGGCGCCGTCAGATGCACGCTCCGGGGAGGGGGGGCCAGTGCCGACCCAAGAAGTTTCCGCGGACCTCAAGGAGCCTGTTCAACGATGATCAAGATGTGAAGATCACGCCGATACCTATGCCCGTCAAGCCTCCTTCGCCCTTTCGAGGCATCCTGGGGGGCCCTCGTCGCCACGGCCAGATTCGCTTCGAAAGCCTGTGCGTCTGAGGGGCAGCGGCAGCTGCATCTTTTCGTTTCCCCAGTGATGACGGCAGTAGCCACGCCGCTGGCGTCGGCGATCCCAGGGTTTCCGACGTTGGGGTTCTCGCGGGCTCCCCGGGACTCCTGACCCCTTTCCAGGGCCGGAGTAGCTTCCCTGTGGCCCAGGGGCCTGGAGCGGACCCTCGCAGGGCCGACCTCACGACCCTGACAACGGACAGCGACAGCCATCGACCACGACGCACGACAACGACGACGAAAAACGACGACGACGATGACCACGACGCACGACGACGACGACGACGCACGACGACGGTGACGACGACGACGACGACGACGACGACGACGACGACGACGACGACGACGACGACGACGACGACGACGACGACGACGACGACGACGACGACGACGACGACGACCCCCCCGACGGAGGATGACGGCGTGGAGGTCTGCGACCCTCGATCACTACGACGACGCTGGCGCGTGACGACGACGACGACGACGGCGGATGGATCGACGGCGAGGACGGGGACGGCGCACGTGGACGCCAAGGACGCCCGGCGACTTCCGCGGACGGCGGCGGCGGCGACTTCGGCGACCGCCGGAGGCCCAGGCGGTGCCGGCGGCCCCGCTGCGAGGCCCCGCCCGCCCCGCCCCGCTGGGGGACACAAAAAAGTGGAACCCCTGCCTTCTCGACCCGTGTTTGCCCCCCCCCCCCCCTCTGGAGGAGGCGGAGGAGGGAGGCGGAGGCGAGGAGGAGGCGGAGGAGGAGGAGGAGGAGGAGGAGGAGGAGGAGGAGGAGGAGGAGGAGGAGGAGGGGGGACTGTGGAGGAGGCGATTCCCCCTGGACTCAAAGTTGGCGTCCGGCCAGCTGGGGGTTCCACCTTTTCGAGTCCTGTCGAGCCTGCGCTCGGACGTGGCTAGGACAAGGAGATATAATCCGTTCCAGAGCGTGCCGGGACGCGCTCTCGGAGCGCTCCGGAACGATCTGGCAAGGCCGCGGCATCCTCCAGAGCCGGGGGATCTCAGAGGTTCTTGATTGATTCGCACCCAAATTGTCCTCGTCCTGGCATCGTCTTGTGTGCTCCCGCGGGCGATCTCGCGGGCGGCCCCAAAGCCGCGCCTGCGAGAGGCCCGCCCGCGGCGGCGCCGCCGCGAGGCCCGCCTGGGGCGCAGCGCCCCGCGGGGGCGCGGCCGCAGGCGCGGGCCTCGGTCTGCGCCGCGCGCTGCCTATCGGCGGGCCTGCGGCGAGCGGGTGTGCCAGACGCGGTGCCTCTCTGGGAGTCCCAACGCATCGAAAAATCAAGGCGGAGGTTTTTCACAAGTTTCGGCCTCTAGGGGCCCTCGCCGGGCCCCGGGACTGTCAAAAAGCGACTCGGGATGAAAAGCCGGTGCTGGAGAATGGGTCGAGACTTCCATCACAACACCAGATCTCTGGGTCTGGGAGTTGGCGGCGTCCACCCCGGACGGGCTCAGGACGAACCAAGGATCCCGTCCTGTTCCCCGCTCCATGGACTTCCTCCTCCTGCTCCTGCTCCTGTTCCTCCTCGTCCTCCTCCTTCTCCTCCTCCTCCTCCTCCGCCTCCTCCCCCGTCGGCGGGTGCACGTTTCTCGGCCCCCCTGGTTGACCGCCCCCGCATTCAGCCGGGCGGGGCTGGGACGAGGATAAATCAGGCCCACAGCGTTTTGGAACGCTCTCGTAGCGTTCCGGAACGCTCTGCGAAGACCGCAGTGCCTGAGACATCCTCCAGAGCCGCGGGATCTCAGGGATTCTCGATTTGTCCTCACCCGATGTTATCCTCTTCCTGGCTTCGTATTGCCACCCCTGGGCTCGGCCTCGCTCGGACGTGTGCATTTTTTTGGCGCGAGGAGCATATTGGCTCATCTTGGGAGACTAGACGCACGAAGCCGAGAAAGACACGTGGAATGACCACATGCCATGGATAATAAAGCATCCCCCCAGGCCCCCCCATAAGACCTGAGTGTTGACTATCTCCTGCCAGTGCAGTTTCGGTCGGCGGTGTGGAGCGGTGGGGCCGAACTTCATTATCACCAGTGGAAGCACGAATCGTATATTGAAACTTCTGACCGCATCAGCACCATCATCATTAGCATCAGCATCATCAGTATCATTCTCTTCATCATCAGATACGACTACGACTATTACTATAACGAATACCCATACGACAACAACAACTACTACTATTACTAGTACTCCTACTGCTACTACTACTACTACTACTACTACTACTACTACTACCACTACTACTACTACTACTACTACTACTACTTCTATTACTACAACTACTACTACTACTACTACTACTACTACTACTACTACTACTACTACTACTACGACTACTACGACTACTACGACTACTACGACTACTACGACTACTACGACTACTACGACTACTACGACTACGAACACGACTACTATTACTACTACTACTACTACTACTACTACCACTACTACTACTACTACTACCACTACTACTACTACTACTACCACTACTACCACTACTACCACTACTACCACTACTACCACTACTACTACGACTATTACAACTACTACTACTACTACTTCGACTATTTCGACGACGACGACGACTACTACTACTACTACTACTACCGACGAACACTACTACTACTACTACTGCTACTACTGCTATACTAGTACTACTACTACTACTACTACTACTACTACTACTACTACTACTTCTACTACTTACTACTACTCCGACTACTACTACGACGAACTAACTACTAACTACTACTACTACTAACTACTACTACTAACTACGACTACGACTACGAACTACGAACTACGACTACTACTACTACTACTACTACTACTATTACTACTACTACTACTACTACTACTACTACTGCTACGACTACTACTACTACTACTACTACTACTACTACTACGACTACGACTACTACTACTACTACTAATACTACTACTACGGCCACTCTTACTACTACTACGACTAGGACTACGACTACTACTACTACTACTACTATTACTACTACTACTACTACTACTACTACTACTACTACTACTACTACTACTACGACTACTACTACTACTAGTACTACTACTACTACTAGTACTGCTACTACGACTACTACTACTGCTACTACTACTACTACTACAGATACTACTACGACGACAACTACTACTACTACTACGACTACGACTACGACTACGACTGCGACTACGACTACGACTACGACTACTACTACTACTACTACTACTAATACTACTACTACTACTACTGCTACTACTACTACTGGGGCGGGGCCGCCATGGAACCTTTCCCACTGGTGCCTTCGGTGGAGCTCCCTGTGGGGCCACGAAGCGTGTGAGGGGTGTGCCGAAATGGAGGCAAAGAACCTGTGAGGGGTGTGCCGAAATGGTTTCGATGCGAGGGAGGAGGGAGGAGGAGGAGGAGGAGGAGGAGGAGGAGGAGGAGGAGGAGGAGGAGGACGAGGGGTGAGCGAGTGGGGCGCGGGGCGCTGTCTCTTCAAAGCGAGGACCCAACACCACAGGATGGTTGGGACAAATGGAATAAACTATAAGAAACGGGAGTCCCCAGGACACCCACCGACGGGATTCGAAGAGAATTCCATTTTAAATCCGACACAAAACGAATTCAAGTCGACAGAACCTCACAAAAGGGATACGTTTGTAGACCCGCCACACGATGATTATAATTACATGCCCCATTACGCAGGGATCTGCAGTCCTCCTCCCCACCCTCTTGGAG